TGTAAAATTAACTTGTTTCTGGTGTTCTCTGGTTAGCTCTAGTTTTATATGAACCATTCATTTCAAAACAGAATCTAGATTAATATGTAGCATTAAAACTAGATGCTATATGCTTTGAAAAGGAGACCTGTTAATTCTGGAATGCATTGGCTGCTGATGGAATTAACTTCTAAAAAATGATATTCTCCAGAAGCAACTGGGAACTGTAATCATGATATGTGTTTATCAGTAGTAAACTAAATAAGGAGTGGCTATGGCATGTGCTTGTCTGCACTGTTACATTTTTAGTACTGTTTGTGGCATGGTTTTGTCCTTTGCCAACTAACACTCTCCCACATAATGGCCAAGCATAGTTCTGGGATTAGTACAGACAAGGGACCATTAGCAAAATGCTATTTGGAGCTGGCCATCCTCTTTTGGAGGCATAGGATTGTAGCTGTACAGCTGTGAACTGTACCATGCTAGACTGCTTCAAGCTCAGAGAAAGACGCTTTTGTCCTGGTCTATTTTATTTACTGTTATATATGAAGCCACTGATGCTACTTTCCAGGAAGCTGGAATTCAGAAGCTTATTTGGGGATGCAATGGCAGAATTATCTTTGCGTGCTCAAAAGGGAAGCAGGTTAAAAGAACATATTAAATCTAGAAGTGAGAAGCAATGTCTGGAAAGCTGGTGAAATAATTCAGAGGGACTTCATCATAAATAATTGAGTTTCTTAATGTTGGTGCAGGAAAAGCCCTGGGGTATACAGAGGTATAATTAGCCATTTTGAAAGCATTATTTAAAAAGAAAAAAATCAAGAATTACAGCCTGTCATTTTAAATAAAAATAAGCTAAATGTACACAGATGGCATTCGCAGCATCCTCTGACCAGAGGATATATATCCTGGTTACAGTGTAAACCTTGTACCTTTCTAGGGCTTTGCCTTCTGTTGCTTAAAGCAGCAGTGGCAACCTGCTATCACCGCTCTGAACGATGACTCTTAGGCTTTTCAGGGAATTGCTTTCTCAAGCAGCTGTTCTGACCCTCTCTTCTTTTTTTTCTTGTTGTTCTAACCCTTTTTTTTTTTTTTTAATCAGTGTTAAAGCTATTACCATCCTAATGACTTTACAGAGTCTGATCCAACTGACAACTCGTGGGTTGAATCCAGTCCATGTAGTATTTCCATCTGTCTCACAACCTCTTTTATAGGAAGTGAGGAATAGCAGTTTGGACAACGTAGGCGCCTCGTGAACTGAACGCGCATCCTTCCTCTGCAAATGGTCCAGCAGAGCTGCTGCCTCCTGGTCCCCACGGAGGCAGTGATGGCCCAGGCGTGTGCCCCATCCTGAGCGGGGAATTCCTGATGCAGCTGTGATCTGAGGGGTGTGTGGATAGTGAATCACAACTAGGATGAGGTGCCGCTGCTGTGGAGGGTGGACTGCCCTCAGCAGGAGCCCTGCGTTGCCAGACCCTTCTCTTACCTTTCTGTGTAATATGTAAGCAGTGCCAGCTTTAATAGATACTAAGAGCTTTAATAGGCTGGTGCTTTCTCAGTCTGTACTTTGACAACTGTGTGCTTCTTTCTTTCTCCCTCTTCTATATCTTAAAACAAAATACAGTTTTGTAATTTCATTTTGAAACATGTAATTTCTACTTTTTGAGGAAAGGAGTTCTGAAGTATGGAATAGCAGAGCTGTCGCATTGCTGCATTTTAGAATCTAGCCCCTATATTCCACACTTAGTCTTGTTTTACTCCTCTGTTCTTTTGATCTGCAGCATTATGTAGTCCCTGGTGTAATGCAACTTCACTTAACTTTTTATTTGCAAGGAACTTCGCTATTAATGCTAGGTTGAATACTGATCATACAGCTTTAATTATTTCTTACACAGCAGGAACCTTTCTAAGTAGCAGCTGTGTTTTGCCTTAAGTTAAATCGGTTGTGGACTATGACTGCTCAAATCCCTGGGTGTATAATAAGCTTCACTCCCAGCAAGCTCCCCAGACTACAACCATAAGGGGACTGAACTGACTGTCGTGTTTCATGTCATACGTGCCTTTTAACCAGGGATACATTGACTTACGGGGTGTTACCAAAACAGTAACAGAGAATTCTCTTCTACATTCTATATATGATGTTTTTCCTCCTTGTTGCCTGCCTTCCCAAAAAAACAGCATATAGATTTTTCATTAAGGTTTTGAGTGCATGCATCAGTTCACGTTTGTAGCATATTGGTGTTTAAGAAAATATTGGTTTTTTTCTTCCTAAGTTTTTGTGATGGAGGAACAGTTACTAATGAAAATACTAATAAATGTGTTTATTCACCTCCTGTTCAGGTGCTATAGAGATCATATTGATATTAGTTATTTTATAAATATTTTTAAAACATTTTCCATCTTGATTCCCTCTGATTTTTCTGCAAAAGACTCTAATACCAATCTTGACTAAAATAAACTCCAATTTTAAATGAATGTTCTGCTTTAAAGACAAAAAAAATGGAAATGTAAAGGTCCTCAGTCAACATAGTTTATCCCACAGTGCTTGCTTTCCCACTGGATTGTATCTTGCTTGATTCAAATGTTTAACCTCAACAAACTTGCCACTCTACACATTTATTGCTTGCTGAACAAAAAGTACTTCCTGACATGTGTTTGTAGATTTTTCTGTTTTTCTTTTCTTCCATATTAATCTGCATTTTATAGCTTGCTGTGCTATTAGCTATAGTAAATTGAAATGACTCTCTTTTTATGTACCATTTGAGATTCTTAGTCTAATTTTCTTTTCAATTGAAACAAAGTACAATAGCTAGAGTAAGCGTTTTAAAAGACTAAAAAGTAGATTCCCAGAATGTAATACATAGTTTGTTTAAACGTGGAAAAAAAATCTAATAGGCTTAGCTAGCAGTTAAATTATGCTTAGGATGATTGTTCTATACAAGTTCCAAAGTTTTTGTAATTTTGTGATTCAGCTGAGCAGAAAATGCTCCTTTTAGTTCTTGGAGATTTTATTTTATTGTTTTTTATTTTTCAAAATGTAGTCTTTCTGTGTAAGAATGTGATTGGCCTTCAAAGTAAATGTATGGTTTGCTGCTTGCCTGGGAAAATCTTAACTTTTTGTGAGTATATTTTGCACCTTTAACATGAGAGTTTACTGTTGCCGCCCGTGTTCATTTCTCCAAATAAATCGTTACATGTCAACACATTGGTCCACGTAAGTATGTGGGAATAACCAGCATACTTCAAGAAAATTCTCATTTACATTCCTCTAGGTCTGTGTTAGATTTCAAAAGGTTTAATTACTATTACCAGTACTATTCGGGAAGGCTAATGTTCTCCGAACATACATATTTAAAAAAGAGAAAAGAAATGGTCATTTTTTTTAAATCTAATCTTCTTGTTTTGAAGTGTACATCTAAAGTTTCTGTCCTATATACAGTATTTTATCCTCTATTCTTAGATCTACTTTGTATCACCCTATATCAATCCTTAGAACATTTTTGCTGTTTGGTAGAATTTTAGACTAGATTTTTTCAATCTCAATTGCAATTGGCTTCATGATTTTAGGCATTTTTTAATGATAATTAAACTCTTAAGTGCTGTTCTGTAATTACTTTCTTTGAAAAGTGTTCCTGTTCAGATACGTTTGTGAAATATATTCTGTGTATTTGAAGGAAATGCAGTGTTGTTTACTATTAGATTAGATTTTTTGTAGTTGTATTTCCATTTAATACTTCAAAAAGAAGAGGAAATTTAGGACTTGCTTCCCTCGCTCCACCTGCCAGTATTTCTGATTTATTTATTCAGTTAAATTCAACTGTTCCTTATGGCTTCAGTGACTAAGCATTTTTGAACTTCTTATGATCATGGGTCAAATAAATGGTTGTGGACATGTCCACTCTGGCATGAGATTTAATTAATTACCATTTATCTAAATTTAAGGTGTTTGGATTACAAATGTTTTCCTCCTCTCTCTCACATTAATTGAGTCACTTTTCGTGTCAAGTCATCGTGTTTCCATCAAGCAGGTTAGCAGGACAGCCAGAATAACTGTGCTGGATTTGCCCTTCCAAAAGCTAAAGATTCCACCTCTTTCTTTTTTATTTAACAAGCATCTGAACTTCCTAGGTCTCTTTGCTTACCTGCATTTTATAGTTCCTGTTCTTTCCAGTCTCTTCCTGTGTGTAATGCTGTGATTTTATGTAATCATTCTTTCCCGTTGTGCAGTTTTCTGTTTCGGTTTAACACCAGTCTTGCTCAATCCCTCTCTCCAGTTAACGGATGCCTTCATTGCACAAGGTTTGGAAAATGCCCAAAGTGCAGAGTAGCTCTGGAGTCGGGGGCGGGTGGCCCCTTCCTCATCCTCACAGCCACACAGTTCAGTGACACTGGGGTTATGGAGCAGGGAATTTCCAGCCTCTTGGGTCAAGACCAAAAAGTCATGGTATCTGGTGACTGTTTTCTGCAATTCATTTTTTTTCTTTTTTTTTTTTTTTTTTAATTATATCACTACTGTGGGGAAGTTCTTAAAATCTCTGAGGCCTGCAAGGTGTTTCCAGTCCTCTCTCTGCATCAGAGCCCCTGTTTGGCCCTTGCCCATGGATAGATCTGGTGCCTCTTTTCCTGGCCTCTTTCTCACGAGCAGTGGAGTTAAAACAATTCAAAGTTGTGGGGGATTTTTGCTTTGGGTTTTGTTTTGCCTTTTTTTGTTGTTTTTCAGTTTCATTTCTTCATGACTCTGCATAGCAGCAGTGAACTGCTGGCAGTCTGGCCATGTTTAACTCTTCAGTAGCTTCCTGGGCTGTGTCTGAATTTTCATTTGCTATTTTAGACACTGTGACAGTAGTCCACTCTCCTGGAGCATTGTACTACAAGAAATCTAACCTTTTTGCTTTATAGCAGAAGATACCTTGTGGCACTACAAGCTGTCAAATACTTCTCTAGCTTTTGCTTAGTGATTAAAACCTGTTTTGTTAATAACAATTCTTTCTAAAATATATATGCATCTTTTTTTAAATCAACAGACTGCAATTTCTATCTAATTGTAAGGAAGGCTCTGGATCATCCTTAACAAGGTAGGAGTTAACTTATATACGCTTGTTGTGTGCAAAACTGCTGTCTAAATGATGAGAGTGTTGTAAAAAAGTGACCTCTTGAATGACATACTTTTAAGTAGTTTTCTGTTGAACCTAACTGATGCTTTCAGAATTCTTGCTGGGCATAATACTTTGGCCTTGGATTTTATTTGTTTGGTTTGTTGTTATTATGGTACAGCTGAGACCTTTTTTCTGTGCACTTCGTATAGTTACTCCACAGTTTGTATTGACACATTTCACTGTGATTGGTCTAAGGAGATTATGAAATTTGGTCTGCTGTGTAGACCATAGGAGAGCTTAAAAATTGGCTAGATATGGAATAGATTTTTTTTTTCCTCATTCCTTTTGAAAGTTGTCTTCTTAGGCCTTCTGTTGCCTTTTTTTTTTTTTTTGACGATGTTCCTATCAAGCACCTCAAGTAGAGAGAGAGAGTTTCCTGACTTGACCAGCCACTAGTTGGTATAAAGGTTTGTTTATATGGAAGAGCTGTTCTTACTTAGTTCCCTGCGTGGATGCTCGGCTTGAAATTAATGTTTCATTCTGATATAATTTAGTCTGTTTTTACAATGCTTTGTTATAGCTTGCGGTAAAGCACTTGAAAAGTATCTGCACCCCATGAGTTTCAAAAGAGAAATCTCTAGGCAATGATCAAACTCTCTTACATTTTTAAATACAATGAATAAAAATCCATAGTTACATAGAAGCAGTTACTATTCATATTTTTATAGTTACAGCTGCAGAAACACAACTGTACCATTTCCAGAGCCAAAAGAGAACTCAGATAATTTATTGACCTGATCACTTGACCTGTCTTTCCATAGTCATGAGAATAGGGAACCAGTATTTTTGTGAAGTTATGTTTTTATGAAGTTACTGTTTGAAGTTATATTAGCAATGTTGTGCTTGTAGCTGAAACAGAAGTGCAGTTTCAAGGTCTCTTTTAGTATCTTTCCTGTTTGTTTGTTTTTAGCTGTCGTCACTTTTTCTCTGGGAACAAACTTGCCTTGCTCTAAATTCTTTCATTTAGATGTTTTCAACTACAATAGGGGCAGCTGTTCTTAAATTCTGACTCTTACAATTCTTTGTGAAGTTCCCTTGTTATTTTTTTATTCTCTCAGCCTCTACCATGCACTTGCAGAATAAGATGGTCACCAACATTTAAGCTTCATTCTTTATTTTCATAGTTTCAAAGGGTTGGCGACTTCATTTGTGAATTTACAGCTGCTTTAATTGGACTTCTTTCAGTGTAAATATGCTTATTTACACTGAATGGCTATGCTTATTTTAAAACATAATGAAAAGTCTTCACATTTCATTATTTATTTTAATTATTAATATAATGTATACCAGTACCAGTGATTATTATTTTCCTTCGAATGCACCAGTCCTGGCAACAGTTTGTCATAAGATCCAAATTAACTTCAATCTTTTCTACAGAAATTAGCTGAATTTTCAATCCATCCTAAATACCTGACCATTTCAGCTTTGTAGCATTCTTGAATAGTATAAATTTAAATGTATTTTGATGTTCCAAAATTCACTTTTAAGAGTAACTATATCAATGGCAATCTGAAATCTGGGATATTCCCTTTTAAGGTAGGAAGTTTCATTTTAAAATAGTGCAAAGCACAGTGATGACAAGTATAAACTTGAATGTTTTTCATGACAGAGACGCTGAATGTTTAGCATTGCTGCTTTGGATTGTTGAATGTGAATTGGAACTGCTGTTCTTCAGGTAAGATGCTCATCTTAGGTACCTCTTTTCTTCTACACTGATTATAAGTAAGCTGATGAATGCAAAATGCTATTCTTTACCATGTATAAAATGTCTGTCTTGTTGAATGTGCCTAATTTTGCTGGAGATTTTAAATAATAGTTCAATTGTTCTAAATGTTTATTTTCCATTAGAAACCATATCAGCAACTCTGGATGGTTTAACTAAATATGTCATTTGATTTTTAAAGTGGAATAAGTGGTCGTCTTAGCACCTTATTGCTGGTAAAAGTTATGTCCAGTTCTGACTGCCCCTTCTCTTGTGTTCCTCTGTAATGTGTCAACTTAGGGAATTTATTGCTGAAAGATCTATGGGGCTTTGAAAGCTTCTTGAAGGATATTTTTCTATCAGTTCAGACCTCTGAATCGACTCATTGTAGGATCAAGTAAGGGCTGGTGTTGACACAAGGAAATCAGCGCCAGTACCCGTGACAGTGAGTTGTTAAATTGGTTTTGCTTTATCTTCGAACTTCATGGTCACCCTCTGCTCCAAGAAAAGTTTTGAGGCATGAGAAAGAATATGAAGGAGTTGTAGACTCCAGACTGCTACTACAGACTTCAATATCCAAGAAGGAAGGGGAGCGGGAGCTAGATGGTTTTGATAGCTAGAGGTAACGATCACAGTAGTGGTGGCTGAAGATCACCTCCTTTCTCATAGTGAAATACAGGAAGTCATAATAATTTGGGCACTACTGGTTACCGCATAGATTACAAAAACAGAAGAGGGAACCAGCTTAAGGGTTCCTCTTAGCATATGGCCAAATTACGGTCACTGCAGTTGCAGAGCTGCAAGGCTCTAGGTCACAGAAAGCACTTCTGTTGGCTCTGACCTAAACAAGCTGCTGGTTACCGGCCTTTCCTAGGGCTGCGAAATGTGAAGCAGACAGGACATTTGAGCTGGGCTATCTATGGCCGTGCGTAACACTTGAGCTTTTAATGGGAATAATCCCATATTTTTGAGGATGGAAGGCTCTGTGAGGTAGTGGCTTTGATCCAGTGGTTTATGGAGGAAACAGAAATCAAGCACGGAGAGGAATCTTCAAGCTAGCCCTGCTTTAGTTGCAGTGGATGTAGTCATTCAGGAGGAAATACTGTGAGCAAATAATGACCAAAAATCCGGGCTTTGGAGGCAAAAACAAGCCCAACATGGCAACAATCAGACTGGATTGTTAGCAAAGCAGACTTGCAGTACTCAAGTGAATGCAGGGATCTCAGTGTCTTTCTTATTAAGAGCATTTGTTAATGGGTGTTTGTTTGAAAGAAACAAAACCACCCGCAGAGGACTTTGGAAGGTCTAAATACTTGTTGATTTAAGGCTGCAAATGTTTCTACTGAACTTGGAACCAGCACAGCTGAAAATCGACAGCATTCCTGTTTTATTTCACTGAGTAGCTGAACAACCAAGGGAGGAGATGGTTGTGAGGGGTGGAAGGAAGGTTCTATGCTTAGATGAAAGGCTGTAATCCATTGCTTAAAAAACCTCTGCAGTGAAGGAAACTATTCTCCCCTACCTTGTAAACTGATGATGTGATGCTTGTAAGATCCATATACTTAACCAATGCAGCTACTTTGTGTATTTTATTTTTCCAATTTATTTTCTCCTTTAAGAGATTTGTAACAGTGTTGTGGAATTCAAAAGAGGAATTATACATGTGGAATACCTATTTAATTGTATACAGATAATATTTTAATGAAAATGTGGAGCTTGTTCTACTTTTAAGTGAAGGAAGATCCTTCTTAGTGGGAGGAGCTCAAAATCTAACACTCTTCATAGGCTCCCACATCCTGATTAGGGGACTGAGATAAGCCGAAGCATGGGGTAAGGAGATCTTGGAGTCAAGCAAAGTCAAGTGAAAATGAAGAATAGAGGGAAAATGGTAGGAATGTAGATAAAGGCTCTTAAAAAAAAATGATGTAAAACGAGAAATGCTAGTGAAATGAGGAAACAGACATTTCAACAAACATTCAACTATGGATTTTTTTTTTAATTTAATCAGTAGAAAGTTAATATAGTGCAGTGTAATTCGCAACCTTTATTAGTTGCATTGTTCAGAACTAATACATTTTGAGGAACTAAAACTGATCGGATTTCTTTGTTTGCTTTTGTTTTTAGATGGATAAATTCTTGAAATCCTTATTGCTTACTATTACAGACTTTTTACGTATGTTAAGAAATCTATTACTTTAAAATCAAGCCCTTAATTGTGCCTTTATATTAAATACTGATTTTTATCAGAAGTCTATAACAAAATACAGACTGTGGCAGCATCCAAACAGTCTAAAAGAAAAGTTTTTGAAAGTAAAATCTTAACATGACATGAGCAAGACAAAGCAATTTCTTAATACTAGTGCAGCAAAAAAAAAAAAAAAGTGGAAGATTGAATTTCAGTCTTATTATCAAAATAATCTCTTAAAAATGTTTTGAAATATATGATATGAAATACTGTTACAAGTCTTCAGAATTTGGATTCCCATATCAGATTAAACCCCCCAAAGTGGGTTTTGTGTGTGTACGTGCATTTGCATGGTGATCTATTAAAACTGTTTTTTATGTGACACTACGGGATGGGAGAATCCGGAATGTGAAAAGAATTTCCAACTTCCTTCTTAGTAAGAGTATACAGCGAGGTTTATTAACTGAATAATGTCATAATAAAGAAGGATGAATTATGGTGATATTCCTGAGGTCTTCAGATGATAACCCTTCAGTTTATCCTGAAAATAAGAACTCATAGACAAAAACTGGTCATTTTCTGCCTGGATTGCTTTGAATTATTATGTCAAATACAGCAAACAATTCAGAGATGACTTTTGGAAGCTCTACAAGGAGCTGGTATTAATTCAGTTAAAGCTGAATCTCTGCTGTGAATTGTTACTTCACACATGTATGTTATATTCCTAGACATTATATTCTTAGATATTTTCCAGAATGGTAACTGTTAACAATTTCTGAAGTTCCATGATAAAATGAGTGTAAAAAAAAGAAAAGTGCAATCATAAGCTTCAAATGTTTCACATGTTTGTTAGTATGAATTTCTTCAGAAAATTTTCTGTGCTTGTAAAATATCTAGTACAAAAATTTTGTACTGTGACCGCTAGTTGCATTTGGCATCAATACAACCGTGGAATAAATAGTTTTCAACTCAGTTTACCAGGTAATTCATTATCAGATGTTTTTCAGATAAAATGTTATGAATGTGTTTCAGGGAGGTGTATGAAGAAAGGTTGCAGAGCAACTATAATTCCTGGTCTTGTGGTTTTTGCCTAACATGTTTCATGAAGAAATGGGTGCATTCTGAATCTAAAATTCAGCTCTAGGCCTTATTTTTATCTGTAGTGGTGGACTGCGACTCCTGAACTTTGCGTCCTCAGAGGAGTGTTGTCTCCCAGCAGGTGTCAATGACAAGGTGTTCTCTAATACCCACAAGTCAGACTTGGCAAAGCCCTTGAAATAAGGACAGATTTCTTCAAAAGTAACAAAACCCCCTTCAGATTCTTTTGACTGTTCCTTAAACAAAGGTTAACTTTTCATCAGTAGCAAGAGGAAAGGCGGAACAGTATCTTTCCTTTAAATAAGAATTGTTTCAAAGTTTTTTTTTTTTTAATTAAAAAAATATAGCAACATTGCTTTTGCAATGTTCACCTTCATTAGCACAACTTGCTGACTTCCTTCCTCAGCTATGGTTCTTCCTACACGCAGAGGTCAGAAAAGAGCAGGATCAACAAGCCACACATCTGGCTGTCCCGCTTTCCAACTGGAACAAAGAAACAATTTTTAAATGGCTTTTTGAGTTAATTGTAAACAATTTGCTTT